AAAGAGAGAGAGAGAGAGAGAGAGAGAGAGAGAGAGAGAGAGAGAGAGAGAGAGAGAGCCCTGTGAGGAAAGGCCCTTGTAGCTATTTATAGACCAGCTCGGCGGTCAGGTGGGTTCTGTGAAGTCGCCCCTCTCCGCGTCTAGACTGGAGCCGCCAGTAAGGGCGAAGGCACGTCAGTGGCTTTGATTCGTTACACGACTGAGCCCAGGAAAAACTTCCTCTTCGTCTGTCCGGTTCGGGTTGAGTTTGTCATAATCTCTCTTGTTTGCTGTGGGGCTTCGAGGTTTTGTTCTTTTTTTAAACGTTTATATTGGTTGTCTTCAAGACGTTTCCAGGAATTTTTGCCACTGGATTTGGACAAACCCTTGTTATATTGCCCTCTTTAAAATCTAGGCAGGTCTTTTGGATTTTCACTGGCTACAACGTGACTTCGAGAGTGATAAGTCGTATACGACCGTTACAGCGAGGGATTTTTGTGTTTTTTCCTAAATGACAAATGAGGAGATTTTTAGATCAGGTAAATATGATCACCATCATTGGTTCGATGAAGATAGACTAAAAAAATAATTAGTTCATAGATTTATGTGGTCAATTACATTTTGTAAAGAAATGCCAAAGAGTAGAAAACTAGGCGCTTGAAGGTAGGACAGTCTACGAATCATAGTCTACAGTGTGTGTGTGTATTGTGTACAGCATTCACAACCTTGTTGTCCGCAACCTATGACTATTCGATATCAAATGATAAATAACAAATTACATTTTATTGATCCCTGTGGAGTAATATATAATCATGGGTTACGATGACAAACATACATAAATGAATTATACATTTGTATACATATTGATAACTACATACTTACATTAATAGGTACATATGCTTACATAAATACACAATATCACACCAATACTGAACAATTTCACAAACATGCCATTGCTTTTTTATAGTAAAGATTGTTGCGTCTTGCAAAAGGACACACCTCAGTGACTACCTATCTAAACCTCGTGTCACCGACATTTACTTCCCATTACTTTTTGAGTGTACGAACCCACTACTGATTTATACCCCCCGGGGTGATGAAACCGACTGAAGTGTCTTTAGGGCATTCCCAAAGGGGGGACATTAAAATGTTCTTATGCACAGTAGAATTGTAAATGGGCTGATCCATCGATGTCATGCTTATAACTGTGCCTGAACTGCAACGAACTGCTGTTTTTTCTTTCCCAATCCTTACTGTCGTCATTTTCCCTCTAATTTTTTAATATGTTTTATCACACTTTTGTGACCCGCTATTTCGGGGATGCCTTGATAGTCGAGGCAGACTTCGTGCAGTTGAGGCTAAAGAGGTGAGCAGAGTGGGCCTGAATCACTGTATGGACTTCTCTGTTGACATTTACCCCTTGGCGCTTATTTGACCTTACGCTGTTGTGAGCGCCGTAAAAACTCTACTAAAAGTAAACTAAACTACTCACTTAGCCGCTGGAGCCACTTCAAAATAAAAAAGTCACAAGGGAGATTTACCCTGAAAGTTCCGATTCCGGTCATATTATTTAGTAAAAGTTTTACAGAACTCGCAACTGCAGAATACATTAAAAAAAAAAAAAAAAAAAAAAAAGTCCGTCGCCGACGTATATTTTCAATTGACCGTGGCCAACTGTATTCTAAGGTCCTTGCCCTACACATGACAAGGAGTTTGCCATTAGTTCGTGGTCACTCCCAAGCGGTAGCACCGGATTAAATCAAAGTCTGTGACAAAGTAGACCGGCTCGTTGCTCATTAAGGGGTTAATCTAGCATGACACGCGCGCAGTATCTCGGACTAGGTCTTTGCTTCTTGGCTTCAAGTTCAAGAGAACAACAATAATGGGCTACTTTGCGTACCAACTCTTCTCACGCCCCCACGTTCTTCGTCCCTCATTCTCCCTTTCTCTCTCTCTCTCTCTCTCTCTCTCTCTCTCTCTCTCTC